GTAGATTTGCTTGCTATTCCAGTGAATTAGCAGTGTCCGAGCTGGGATTTGGGCCCGGTTCCCATCCAGAACTCAACACACCACCCTACACTGTTTGTATTGGGATATTTTCTGCACAGTTCTAGCCCTCTATGAACATGTTTCTGAGTCTGTGTGCTCCACCCAGGCCAAGGTGCAGATGCCTAAAAGCTTCATGGCCAACTGTTATGGCCTTTGTGGAGTCATGTTGCCATTTTCCATGAGAGTTCTCCACTTTCAGGGCCTGCCCCATGTACGACTGACTGCTTATGACCTTCTCACTCAGCCTAAGTTTCACTTTCTGTATAATAGGAGTTACATCCCAGGAATAGTGGCCCCACTGACTTCCACTTCATGCCTAAGTCTGTTTCCACATCTCTCAAGGCTGCTACAAAGAATAAAGAAATAAGCCATGCCATAGCTGACAATGCTTGGCAGAGTGAGTGCTCAATAAACACTTCCCTGTTTATTATAAAAAGATGCTGTAATAATTATAATGATTAAGTCTCTTATTATATACAACAGCTGTCTTGATATTAGGGCTTATGTGCCTTTGCACCTCTCCCTTGTACCCCTCAAACCAACCCTGCAGGCTGAGACACTTGTGCAGCCTTCCTAGAGTGGGCCCCGGCTTCATGAGCTTGGGTGACCCCAGGGTCCATGGAGCCCCCAAAGCTAAAGTGATCATCGTCTGTGGCTAAAGCCACTCACCTTGAGTGAGCAGTCAACTGAATGCAAGTGAACAACAGATTTGCTCTCTGGGAGGCACTCGGGGGTGGGCAGCAGAGGAGGCATGACTGGGCTAGATCCCCTGCCTTGTCTTGCTGAGGGCCAGTCTTGGCCATTTATAAGAACTGGGGAGAGGAGGAGGGCAGGGTGAGAGGCTCCTGAATGTCACAAGATTAATCTGTGTGGGGCAGGTTTCCACAGCATAACTGAGGAGCTGGCTGGGGCATGAGCTCCTTGAGAGATACCACCATATTTGGTCAAATACTAGACAGGACTCTGTTCTGTCCTTGGAAACTCCGGAGGGCGGGAGACTCTGAAAATACCTCCTTGGAAAAAAAGCCCCCTTCCCCCCCTACAGCCCTGGCTGCCCCGGCCCCTCTTTGAACAAATGAACGAACCTGGCTGAGGAGTGAATGGGAGCAGCCTGGCTACTTCTTTGCTTTCTTCTGCTGCTACAGCAGGGCCCACAATAAGGAGGAAATTGAAGGATACGTACTGAAATACGGAGGTTCCTCTGCCTTTCAAAACCCCAGAAATATCCATCCCCTTATTTGCTAGTACATGGACCTTTCCTTCTGATCCCTGAGGATGAAACAGTTGCCCAGGATCCAAGTAACAGAGCCTGGTAGAGCAGCCCGTGATGGCATTGCTTGGGAAGTTGAAGCAAAAGGATCAGGGGTTCAGGGACACCTTCAGCCACACATCACATTCAAGGCCAGCCCGGGATACAAGAGACCTAGTCTCAGAACATACCAAGAAGAGGAGGTGTGCGTTGATTCATTTCCAGTGTTTTAGTCCAGAGATCTTGACGTAGGAAACCCAGGAGTCTTTATTTTAATACAAGCATTTCCAGTGTTTTAGTCCAGAGATCTTGATGTAGGAAACCCAGGAGTCTTCATTTTAATACAAGCCAGTCTGGAAGCAACAGAGGCCCTTTACTTCTCATGTAGCCCACTCCCCATCCAGTGTTAAAGCTCAGGGAAGGTGGCACTTCCCAGGATCACAGAGTGTTTATGCTGGAGCTGTAAGCAGAACTAGCCCCCTGGTTCCATCCACCGATCCTCCCTTATACTGACAGTCTTGGGCCAGGCCAAGCTGAGCCTCCTTGCTAGTCTGTAGGGAGCCTGAGAAGCTAGGTCGGTCCTTCTGAGAGCTCAGATTGCTCACAATTTGCTCCAGGGACAGCAGAGTGACTGTCACTGATTTCCCCATTCCTGGGCTGTCTTGGACCAGAAAGAAGCCTCTTCCTCCAGCCTTGACCTTGAGAAACCAAGGTAGAGTCATTGTCCTGTAGTGATGTGCAGAGTATAGACCTGCAGAGACCAGTCTCAGAGGTCGGTGCCAGGTTAGAGAGGGGAAGGTGAAGAAACTAGGAACTCAGGGGCTCCTCCTGCCTCATGTACGAGGATGGAGTCCTTGGGTCTTTATGAACAAGGGTTAGGAGTACAGGTGACGATGCATGGATGGGCAGCCAGCAGTAGCAGTGATTCGATGCAGAAATTCCTGGCACTTCTACTACAGACCCACTGGGAGCCTCACTGCACTCACCACTAGATGGCACCAACAGAAAGCCAGACAACCCCGAAGAACAGTCGCGGCCCACACCTTCCAGAGTAGATGCTAAAGCCAAACAGGAGTTCCACTGGGTGGGCAAGGCCTGTGCCTGCTCCTGGCTTCCCAGTGACACTGCTGTTGAGGAGCAGTATTAACAGTGTCTTCCATATCACAGTAGGGATGGCCAGCCAGCCTGTGGAAGGCAGTGACTGAGAGTTTCTTAGTTTTGATTTTTTTAGGGGGGAGAGAGGGCTGTTTTGTTTTGTTTTAGATTTTTTTTTTTTTTTGATGGGGGTGTTCAAGACAGGGTTTCTCTGTGGCTATCCTGGAACTCGCTCTGTGGACCAGGCTGGCCTCAAACTCAGAGAGCATCATCTGCTTCTGCCCCCAAGTGCTGGGATTAAAGGTGTATGCTACCACTGCCCGCCTGTGACTCAGAGTTTCTATCTGCTGACCCCAAGTACCCACTTCCCTCTGAGCAGCTACTATGTACTAGGCCTTTAGTATGTGCAACACAGTACCATAGTCTCAGAAAATAACAACTACGAAGCTGGGATAATAGTTCAGTTGATAAACACTTGCCACATAAGCATCAGGGCTTCGGTCCAATCCCTAGAAGCTAAGTAGAGAAGCCAGGAGTGCTGGTGTGCACTATAATGCCAGTGTTGGGGAGGCAGAGACCAGAAGATCCCTAGAGCTTGCTGGATGGCTAGCCTAGCCTATTTGGCAATGAGAGAGCCTGTCTCAAAAAAACGAGATGGATGGCTCCTGAGGGATGATGGCCTCTGAGGTTGTCCTCTGGCCTCCTCCACGTGGACCAGCACACATGTGCACACACACACACATGCACATACAAACATGAGTCGAGGGAGGGCACAGAGGAAAAAAACAATAACTAGAAATAAGAATTACTGACTAATGCCCACCTCCTGAGTGCCAGGCAGGATTAACTCCTCCAAGTATATTGCTTCATGGGAAAATCCCAACACACCTGTGATATAGTCCAACTTTACTCTCTTTTAATAACTGGGGAAAGCGAGGCTTGGAATGTCTACCTAACCATTTGCCCAAAGTCACAAAAGATGCAAAGCAAGTTTGTTTTTACCCCTACATCTCCTGCTATGGTGCAGGTAGAAGACACTGGCCCAGAAGGGGAGGGATGCTCATCAAAGAGAATCTGTAACACCTCAGCCTCACCCAGCATTCTTGAACAATCTAGATGGGGCAAGGTTAGGAGCTCATGAAAGAAACTCCAGTTCTTAGGAGACATGAGAGTTCTCCAGCTCGGGGAAGTTTAACTATAACATTTCTGACACATAGAAAGCACCTGTTAAAATGTGATACATTCAATCAATCCAGTTGTAGCACAGGATGGCGAAGCTGGAACTCAGGCTGAGATCGGAGTTATGGAGAAGCTGAGGAGCAGGTACGTCCTCCAGGGTAGTGAAGACATCACAGCTTGATGAATTTTAGTCTTGGTCCTGTCTTCCCCATTATAGCTGTGTGACTTTGTGGAAAGAGATAGTTTATCTGAGCCTTCGTTTCTTCTGTACAATAGATAGTAACTTGGGGCTGGGTGTGTAGCCCAGGTTGGTGAGTGGTGGGTGTCTTGCCCAGCTTGCACAAAGCCCTGGATTCAATTTCTGGCACTGAACAAGCCAGGTGTGTTGGCTCATGCCCAAAATCCCAGCATTCAGAAGACAGAGGCAGGAGGATTAGAACTTTAAGGCCATCCTCAACTACATAATAAATTTGAGTCCAGTGTAGGCTATAAGAGACCCTGTCTCAAAATAGTGATTTTTCACTGGATTTCTGTAAGGGTCGAACAAGAATGCATCTTAAAGTGCTTTGTGGGGTGCTGGGCCAACCTGAGTGCCCAGCTAATGATAGCAGAAACCGGAACTGCTGTTATTAAAATGTTAACTTGGGCTTTCAAGGATGCCTTTGGAGTATTCCTAAGTAGAAATTCGGCATTAGTGGGTAGGGATGAGGCGAGAACCGGTGGGAGAATGCAGAGGCTTCCCTATTCAATGTGCCCACCCCGAACCTCAGCCAGGCCAGGAGGCTGATAGAAGGAATCTAGTTAGGCAAGAAGAGGCTTACAGGCTGTTTTGCTGGCAAGAGCCCCCTCTGCCATGCTGTTTTCCCCTCCCTCCTGGGTAGGAATTCTTCTCCCAAGCCCTTATTTGCACAAATGCCTGCCTCACTGCTCACTCCAGAGTCCCAGCCAAGAGGGTCTATTTTAAGCTCCAGAGAGAGGAACATTGTTGGTGGGAATAGCCCTCGCCAGCCAGCTCCCAGTTCTCAAAAAAGGGAAAGGCTGGGTGAATGAGACATGTAGAGGGACAGCCACGTCAGCGGGACCCTGGGCCTAGGCCAGACACTAGCATCTGCACCCCAAGGGGTCGACGTCAAGCAAGTATGAATTGGTGTCGGTTCTCTGGTGACCAACTCTAGGATGCCCGTCATCTAGTGAACCAGCCCTGAAAATACCAAGGCCTTGCTTCTAGGCTGCAGCGGAGACCGTGTGCTCCACTTTGTGTCTTATTAGCACCCAAAGACATCCCCACAGGCAGACATGCCTTGCCAGCTCTTCCAGTGTAGGGTCTTTGCTGGTGACCTCCCTGCCTTCCAGAGACATTCTTCTCTCAGGACATACATTCCATCTTTGATGTAACAAGCACTTTGTGTTTGGTCTCTTTGGGCTGTTGTTGTAAATTCCTTTCTTGCACACTTTCATGGCTGTATTCTTGCTCTTTGATTTTGTAAAGGCTAATGTTTAAAACATAGACTTTGAACCAAAGTAACCAGGACCCCAGTCAGAGGCACACAGTAGCTGGGCTACTGGGGTCACTTGGGGCTGGCATCTCAACCTCCATCAAAGGAGAGGGAATAGTGAAAATGAGGGTGTGTGTGTGTGTGTGACATGCCTGTAAGTGTGCATGAATGGCCTAGCTACTGTTTGTGCATATTATCCAATCAGGTAGCATGGTATAATTCTAGTCAGCTCAATTCTAAAACCTAGTTCCCAGAGAGACCCCAAAATAGAAGGAACAACCCTAAGGAAAAGTTGGCACCCCATGTGTTTCGGCAGAGGCAAGAAGCCTGCCTGGGGACACTATGTATAAGACAGGTAAGGGATCAGGCTTCCTAAGCTTTTGAAGCCCCTAGCATGGAAAAATCATCTGTACAAGCCCCGGGATCCCATAAGCATGGTCCTCCTGCCTGTACTTGCTCAGGCCTGGGTCAGGAAGGAGCAGGATATAAACAGGCTGTGTGTATAGCCAGGCACCAGGCTTCCCACTCATCAACATATCCGTGCCTCAGACCCAGGGGATGTTTATAGTCTTCTAGAGTCTCCAGGACTCTGACACCCATCTCCAAGGCCACCATTCACTCCGCCCCATTCCTGGAGTCTGTGTCTGTGTCTCTTTGGGGTGGGCAGCAAAAAAGGAAAGAGAACAGTCCGAAAGCCCAAGACCCAGTGAAGGGAACTAGCCAGGCTGTGGAAATGGTGGAAAGGGGAAGAGGTGGGGGAGCCAGCATCTCCTGCTGGCTTATGACTAGGGGTCTTGGAGTGTGGTAGGCTAGAGTGGAGAGCCGTGCCTTAAGCAAGTCAGATTTAATAGTAGGCTCTAGCTGGGGAGACTGGCACTGAGTTCTTTTATTGGAGGTGGCTCTGTAGTGTGAGTCTGGGGGTGTATGTCCTTGAGGGTAGTGTCTCAGTGCTTTGCTCTGTAGCACCTTCATGGAGCACTGCTTCCAGGCAATGAGTGCATCTTACTCACATGCCCTGGAAAGCCTAGGGCCGGGATGACCATGCAGACTTACACTCTCCCCAAGGGCAACTCACAGCCCACCACTCAGGAGACAGACAACTCTGAGCACAGTCTCTTACCCTTGGGCAAGGAGCCCTGGTAGCCATTGCATTGCTTCTGCCCTGATCCTACCCATCTCCAGAATGTTCATAGGTGCTTAGGGCTACAGTGACTCACAACCCAGCCTCCCTGGCTGTGTGGTCCAGAGGAAATAGTGACGATTAAATGTAATCTCTGGCTAGTGAGCAGTGTCCTTCGAGGCTTCGACTTGCAGGCAGTGAGGCGCTTTGGAATATTCTTCAAGGGGCAGTCTACCTACTTAACAGACACATATTAAACAACTGCAGTGTGCTCAACATGTTCTAGCATTGGGGGACCGCATGGGATACTTACACCGGTCCTTAAACTCGTGCTCCAGTGGATGGTGGCAGATATAACAATGTCCCTGCTTCAGGAGCAGCAACGCATCTTGGAAGAACTCCTGCTGAACACTTCTGCTCAGCCTTCTGCATCTCCCACATCCATGGAAAGTGCTAAATCTTCTGAGGAGCCTGTGACCCTGGGCTCAGCTCATATGGAGAAAAGTGCTGTCTCCAGAATGTGAAGTCTCAGCAAATTTCCATGAGAGGTCAGTTCTCTAGAGATCCGGAGGAAAGAAAAGCCAGACTGTGTGATGTTGGCCATTTTCAGAGCCTGGCTTCCAGGAAAGAAGTCCTATCGCCATTCTGATGTTGGAAGGAGCTTCCCAGCCCCTGGCTCTGGACACACAAGATGTCTCCTGCCCAGGTGATAGACAGAAGCGGGTGATGGCTGCCTGGGGATAGGAGTGTTACTCTTCAC